AAGGAAATCCACCGATGGACCACGTGCGGACCACGTTTGCTTTTCAATTTACACCGGCGATAAATAACTGGTCAATTCACAAAAGAAGATTGGAGCAGTATTATATCGCGAATGGGGTGAATCAAGACGGGGTAAAGGCGCAGTAGCATTAAATAGTTTATCCGAAGAGGCTTATTTATTACTGGAAAATTTACTGGTACCGCGTACACCGGAAGGAATGCCATATACAGAAATAATTCAAGTTCTAGACACCCATTTCGAGCCGAAGAAATTTGTTTTCGTCGAAAGAACAAATTTCTACAACGCAATGAAAAGCGAAGGGGGAAATACGCAAGAATGGGGCGTCCGAGTAAGAAAATTGGCATTATATTGCAAATTCGGAACGTTCTTAGACGTGGCCTTACGGGACAAATTTATTGCTGGGTTAAATCCGGGACGAATTTTGGATAAACTCATCATGGAGGACGAAAAATTAACGTTCGCGGAGGCGATGGAAATTGCCGAGTTCTTGGAGTTTTTACAAAGTGGCGGAACGAATCAACGGCTCAGTCAGCAGCAGGTCGTTAAGCAGGAACCCGGTGAGATCCTTAAGCTTCGCGCAGGACCGAATCGTCCAGGATCAAGCAGAGGGGGTGGTAGACCGCAGGCGCAGCAGGACAACAGCCGCTCAGTCGCGACGAAAGGGTCGTTGATGTGTTATCGGTGTGGTAAGACTAATCATCGCGCAGAGAATTGCCGTTACCGAAATTATATTTGTCACGCGTGTAATAAAAAAGGGCATCTTAGCAAATTTTGCAAGAATAGAAATGTAAATTTATTGAATGAATCATCTTTATTTTGTATTAATAATCACAGAAATAAACCGATTTATGAGCTGCAAGTTCAGTTATGTCTAAGCAATATTGGTCAGAAAATTTTCAAAATGTAAAATTAGAGCAAAAATCAAAAAAATTAGTAGATTATATGGGACATGAAATACACCCAGTAGGAACTATACATTTAAAGGTCAATTATAATAATAAAATGAAAGTAGTTTCTTTTCAAGTAATTGATAGAGGAGGTCCACCTTTGTTGGGACGCAATTTCATTTATAAGTTTAATTTTGGGAATTAAATTTCCTGCGAGATTCTCGGGAGGTCAAAAGTCTTTATAGTTCATATCCTGCAGTATTTGCAAATGACTTGGGCACTTTTAATGGCATTAAATTGGAATTTAAAATAAAAGAAGGGGTAACACCAAAATTTTTTAAACCTAGGCCATTGCCTTATGCTATTAGGGAGATGGTTGATAAAGAATTAGATAGATTAACTAAATTAAAAATTTTAGAACCTGTAGAAATTAGTGAATGGGCATCACCAATTGTACCTGTATTGAAATCTGATAAAACTGCGGTGAGTATAAAGTAACAATAAACCCATTTCTGGAACAGGATAAATATCCGTTGCCTCGAATTGATGATTTGCTTAGTAAGTTAAAAGGGGGTCAACAGTTTTCAAAAATAGATTTGAGCCATGCGTATCAGCAAATGTTGTTAACCAAAAATTCGCAAGAATTAACGACTATATCTACCCATCGTGGTTTATTTAGATACAAAAGATTACCTTTCGGAGTATCATCTGGGCCAGCCAAATTTCAAAGAGTAATGGAGAGTATTTTAGGTGGTTTAGAAGGGGTTTGCTGTTTTCTTGATGATATATTGATTACTGGTAATACTTATGAAGAGCACTTGGTTAGATTAAAAAGAGTTTTGAACTATTTTCAAAAATATGGTTTAACTGTAAGGAAAGAAAAGTGTTCATTTTTTGAAGATTCGGTTTCTTATTTGGGTTACATCATTGATAAGAATGGTTTACATAAATGTCCGAAAAAGTTAGAAGCAATTAAGAAAATGTCAGTTCCGCAAAATGTTTCGCAATTAAAATCTTTTCTGGGTTCTGTTAATTATTACCATAAATTTTTGCAAAAAAATACCTGATATTTTACATCCTTTATATCAATTGCTAAAAAAAAATAATTCATGGAATTGGACTAAAGATTGTACAGATGCTTTTTTAAAAATTAAAGAGATGTTATTGTCGCCACAATGTTGTTTAGTTCATTATGATCCAGAAATTGATGTAATATTAACTGTTGATGCTTCTTCGTATGGGCTAGGTGCTGTATTGGCACATTCTTTTCAGTCTAATGATGTTAAGCCCATTGCGTTCGCATCTAGAACACTAGGATTTGCAGAGAAAAAGTATTCTCAAATTGATAAAGAGGCACTTGCCATTGTTTTTGGTATTAAAAAGTTTCATCAATATTTGTATGGGCGTAAGTTCACTATTTTGACTGATCATAAACCACTAGTGTATATCTTTTCACCTAAGCAAGGTGTACCATTAATGGCCAGTAACAGAATTCAGAGATACGTATATTCATTACTTGGTTATGATTTTGAAATCAAATATGTTAAGTCCGCAGATAACACAGCGGATTTTTTATCTAGACTTCCATGTAAAGAATTTAGTAATGAGCAAATTCATGAGAATTATTTGGTGGGCTATATTAATAGTCAAAGTGAATTTCCAATAAATTGTAGGGATATCGTAAGAGAAATAAATAATGATAAAATATTAAATAAAGTTAAAGAATATGTTTATAAAGGCTGGCCAGAAAAGGAAAAACGCGAAGAATTTAAGCCATATTGGAAACGTAAAAATGAAATTAATATAGAAGATAATTTGCTTATTTGGGGAAATCGAATAATAATACCTACTATTTTACAAGAGAAAATATTAAGTGAATTACATTGTGCTCACATGGGTATTGTTAAAACCAAATCATTAGCCAGATCTTACATCTGGTGGCCTAAATTAAATATAGACTTAGAAAATTTATGTAAAAATTGTGAAATTTGTCAAGTTAATCGGTGTAATCCACCTAAAGATACATTAAAATGTTGGCCTGTACCAGATAACATTTGGGAAAGAATTCATATTGATTTTTGCGGACCTATAAAAAATAAATATTTTTTAGTCATGGTTGACGCTTTTTCAAAGTGGGTAGAAGTTTTCATAATGAACTCTATAACAACAGAACAAACAATTAATAAATTACGAGAAGTATTTGCACGATTTGGAGTACCTAAAACTTTGGTCTCTGATAACGGACCACAATTGACGTCTGTAGAATTTGAAACTTTTTTGAAAATGAATGGTATAAATCATGTCGCTTCTCCACCATATAATCCACAATCTAATGGTTTAGCCGAAAATTTTGTAAAAACTTTAAAATCGTTCATATATAAAAAAATTCAAAATAACACATATTGCAATTTAAACAAAGAACTTTGTGTATTTTTATTAAATTATCGTGTCACTTCACATTGTGTTACTAAAGAATTGCCAGCTAAAATAATGTTAGGCAGACAAATAAAAACTACATTAGATTTACTTAGACCTGATAGAAATAACAGTAAAAATTTACCTGTAAATTTAAAAATAATTAAAAAAAATATTGTGAAAAATCAAAACTCTAATAAATTTTATAAAGGAGGAAAAGAAAGAAAGAGTTTTATAGTTGGTGATACTATATTTTGTAAGGATTATCGTGATAATAATGTGAAATGGACCGCAGGAATAGTAAAAAAAATTATTGGAAAGAATTGTTATTTAATTTCTGTTTGTAACACGCCTTTAGTGTGGAAACGTCACATCAATCAAATAAATAGAAGAGAACTAGTAATCGATGACGTTTCACATGCTACTGTTAATATTAGACCGCAAACCGAAGCCGAAGTAGTACCCGTCGAACCACCAGAAATAGAGAATGAGTCGAATAGGGATGATAGAGATAAGATAATTTCGCCTGATCCGCCTTCTGTTTCTGATAAAGACGAGTCAATACCGTTACGTCCATAACGCACACGCAAAATACCGGTTAGGTTAAATTATAATTACTAGTTTTGTTTTTGTTTAGTTCGTTGATTCGCCGAGAGGTGTGTAATGTATTGAAAGTTATCGATATTGCGCATGCGTGGGTGTGATGGGAGTACCGTCGAAGAGGAATGATCACTTCACCTCGGTGTGTAACATGTCAACGTGCTTGTAATAAAGAGTTAAGTTAGGAAAGTTTGAATCTTTACTTTAATTCACAAAATCCTAAATACGAATAATACAGACAAGATTTGATCAGTTATTTCAAAGGAACTAAACGTCACACTGGGTAAGTAAGAAGAATATTTTCATAATTTTAACTAATCATTTTATTACAAGAGTATTAGTATATACATATGAAATTTAACCAGGCCCGGTTCTACCGAGCGTGCGAAGCGTGCATGCACGAAGGCGGCCGGCCGTCATATGCACAGACGAAATATTAAAAAGAAACCATATTGAAATATTCAGTTTGCGCCATCATACGACTCGACGGAAATTACTCAAACTTCGAATGCCTTCAGCGGCATCTAGTCGCCGAAAGTAAAACTACATCGTGCTACCAACCATAAATAAAAAAATTGGTTCTGATTTTTTTGTTGACAACACTTACCTCTTTTAAGTAAAATTTAAAATCGTTAAAAATGTTTCCTAACCGGTCAGCGCTAACCTCTAAATCGGTTACGGCTGTGATTAAGTTGGCATTCCAAACCCACCATTGTTTCCCAAATGTTCAATGTATTAATATTTGGTTTATTAACTTAGTTTATTGTGAAATAACCTGCCGATTCGAAGATAAATAAAATTCCTATTTACTTAGACGCTAAGTTAACTAAGGTGGATATTATTTCTTAACATAAGCATAAAGATTGAAGATGTCAGAAAGGAAGACAAAGCGTGAATCTGGTGCTTTTTATAGAAAGCGTAAAGCGGAAAAAGATAAGCAAGAAAAAAAATTACGAAATTCTATGCTTAAGTTTGTTATGTTAGATGAAGATAATAATCCAGTTTCGACTTCAGCGAGGAATTTTTCTATCGACGAAGCAACATCTGATAATATTAGTAACATTACTATCCCAACTGATGACATTACCAGTATTACCACTAGTCCCGCAAGTTCCGCGTATGAAAAAAAATACTGAAATAGAAATTGATAATGTATCTTCGACCTCATCTATAAATCTACACGACCCCTCTACTTGGCCAGCAATAATCAATAACCGATTATTGGAAATTCTCGTTGAAAAAGGACCTCCATCGATTCAACAAAACATAAAATTTCCTACAAACACAGACAGCGATGGAAGATCGTTCTCACCGTCACAATACTTTCGAATATTACCAAATGGTGAAAAGATTGAAAGAAAATGGTTGGTGTACTCACTCAAGGCAAACAGCACATTTTGTTATTGTTGCAAATTATTTTCCATTAAATCAATGAAATTAACAGGAAAAGACGGATTTTCTGATTGGCGACATTTGGCTACACAATTATCCCGACATGAATCAAGTATTGATCATATGTTCAATTATCAAAAGTGGAATGAATTGAAAAAAAGACTTAGTAAGAATTGTACTATAGACTGTGAACAACAACGATATTTTGAGTCGGAGAAAAGAAGATGGCGTGATATTATCACCAGAATTGTTGCAATTGTACAGTATTTAGCAGGACAATGTTTAGCTTTTAGAGGTGATTCTGATGTATTATATGAACGAAATAACGGAAATTTTCTAAAAGGTATAGAAATGCTGGCGAAATTTGATCCAATTATTTCAAATCATATCAATAATATTCAAAAAAGTAAGAAGTACAGTTACATGCCTCATTACCTAGGACACTCTTTCCAAAATGAAATTATTACGGAACTGGCTAATTCGATAAAAACAAAAATTCAAGAGTTAATAAAAAAATCGAAATATTTTTCTGTTATTTTAGATTGTACGCCAGATGTAACGCATGTTGAACAAATTTCTTTTGTAGCCAGAATAGTGGATATGAGTACATCTCCTATTGAAATTAAAGAACTATTTCTTGGGTTCTATCCAGTATTGGATGCAACTGGAGAAGGATTGTTTAATTTCTTTACCAATGAATTATTAAGTACTTATGATTTAGATGTGCAAAACATACATGGCCAAGGATATGATAACGGATCCAAACGAAAGTTGCAGCAAATGCTTTAGTAAACAATATATCTACACTGAAAAAAAAATGTGGGAAAATTACGATGAGATGATTGGTTATTTTTGACCCATCGTTTCGTTGTAATGTTATTATAGTAAAAGTGAATTTACACGTACTAACATAAATTTACATTGCAATTGTAAATTTACAGTGTAAAATTATCAATATAATTGATGTTTTCAATGTGGTTAACTACAACAGATGCCCATTGTGAGCATCCTGCCTGTGCAGAAGTTTTCTTTTTTAAAAATTTTTTTGGAGTTGTTGGTTCTACACTATTATTTGACCGTTTGTGTGGCCTCCTTAAATAATGTACCCGTTCATGTAATTTGAAAAATAAACTTGCGAACCCATTCCCTAATACTGCACCGTCATCGTCTACATCGCAGAAAGTTTTAGGATACTTTTACGATATTTCTCTAGCTATATTTTTGAGTGTACGCATCGGTGGTTGGGTATCTATGGTTCTTAATACATTTACAATTATGTGGACCATATCTGTAATAATATGTTGGTGTTTTGTCCCCTGTTCATATAAATGTAAGTAGTTAGCTGGGAACTTGTGACAAGGTATTTGGAATCTAGTCCAGTCGAGTTCTTCATTTCTATTAGATAATGTTTCAGTATTCATTACATTCATTTCATTTTCAATATCATTAATTTCAATACTATTAATTTCAATATTATTAATTTCAGTGTTATCATTTTCAACATTCAGATTTGCAATATTATCACTACTTTCAATATTAAATAATAGCATTGAAGATGTAGCAGATGTCGGCGTACTAAATCCTGACGTTCTTGATTCTGTCGTTGTCAAATTTAAATGCTCCGTCCATTTCTCGTTGGCAGTTAGGAGCAAAAGTGTTTGTTCAGACTTTAACTCACGGAGTACGTTAGTATCATCAATCACTGTACCATCTTCTTCTAGCACTAACGATACCCCATTTATTTGTAATTTGGTAGAAGCTAAGAAATAATAAATTTTTATACTATAGGAAGTAACAAAATATACGCAATATAAAATTATTGAAATAATGTTTACCTCTAAGTACTATTTGTTCATACAGATCCTCTCCATCAGGAACCATTACCATAAACCGTTTATTACGTGTCGAATCCCATACTTTAAACAGCGTCATTTTTAAGCGGTATAATACAATGTAATGTGTGTGATAGTTATAGTTCAAGTGGTGCAGACCTAAAAGAGTACTGATGGTAATTACCAACTTTTTGCACCAAAAGAGGCTCTATGCAGATCAAAGACATTACATTTATGTATACTAATTTATCAGAAACATTATTATTAGCGAAATATAATCCACTAATGGGATCAGACGATACAACAACTGAAGTTCCAATGAAAGTACATGTGCTCAATTTAAAATTTAATAGTATATTATTAATTTTACACAATAAATAATCGCCAACATCATTTTGCCCGTAACAAATTACAAAATTTTTCGCATATATAATTCCTCTGTATAATACCTGATCTGTTATGAAATACTCAGTACTATCAATAACATTAATTGACATAAGGTATGAGTGTACAGAGGAATATTTTTCTGTGCACATTTTAATACTTTCAGTAATAAATTCTGAATTATACAGCTTGTTTTGTGCAATATTTAAGCTCTGTAAAAGCTGGTGTCGATATGATAAAGTTTTTAAGAGGTTTTTGAAACAATTAGAATGTCTTACTACATTTTTAAAGTATTGATGTTTATGCTCGAAACGCAAAGTCCACAAGTGCCGAAGTGGACCAAAATGAAGAAATAGTTCTGGATAATGGGTTATGAAATGTTGTTTAGGTTTAAATGAAATTTGTGGTAAAATTTTGCACTTTAAATCTATATAATCATCAATTAAAGATTTTAGATAAGCCACTTGGTTTGTCGATAATTTAAATGCTAGAAGTAAAAGTACAATCTTTCTTAATAACAAAATTAATTCCCACGCGTAATTTGGTTCGTTTATTGATAATACAAAAGGTATTACAATTATAAACATCATGTTTTGATATGCAGATCCCGACAGATTGTTTTTTTTCTTAATTAAAGGGAAGTGGATTTTTGATTCACCTTCAAATGACAAAGTCTGAAGTCGTTTATTTAAATCTTCGAAGGATAATAAATTTTGAGCTTCTAACATGTCAAGAGCATGTGCTAAATCTACCTTCAAAATTCCTTCAAAAACATCATGTGCTATACATGGTGCTAAGCCTGGATTCATTACATGGTAAAATCTTAAAGAATTGAGTATTGAATTTGATTTAATTCCTCTGTGGGATGATTGTGTTAAAGAGGCCATGTCAACATCAAATTCATATGACTCGCGAGTTCTTTTTTGATAGCGTTTCTTTATGTCACTGCTGTTTTTTATATTGTTAATGTGACAAAATCTACAGAAATATGATTGTTGGCGAACGACAATAGGTGGCGTGTAGAGACGAGATGTACGAACTAAAACAAGTCGGTGTGCATCATCGGAAGAAGAAGGAAGTGTCGTGTGGACCAAATAATGTATAGCGTTTAGTTTAACCAGTTACATATTCTTTTTTTGTGTTCTAAGTAAAACCAATATATCTGTTACAACAAAGCTGACTTTAATTTAACGAATAACATGATGATAAACTAAAATTTTCATTTAAACCGCCGATATGATGATTTCCTAAGTTATCACCAACAATTGTTAGAATGCTACCCTTTACAGATATATTTTTCTCGTTTAGTTCAACATCAACGCCGATTAATTCTAATGTGTTTAAGTCATTTACAATAACATTCAACACTTCATCAAATCCAACTTGTTTAACATCTTTTTCATAAACTAAGGCCACCAAATGTATATTGTCAATCTGAGAACGAAACCATGCAGGCGTATTGGCAAAGGTCATATACATTCCAATGATTTTATGTTTTTTCCTTGATGATCCTAAAGGATTACACACTTCAAAGGCATCTTGGAACAAAATTATTTTTATCGTATAACCATTATCAGAGTAAAAAAAAGTGTTTTTTGTCACGATGCTAGCATCTGTAATATCAGCTAATACATTAGATGTAGATTCTTTGTTGCTAAACATTAAATTTTTGAAATTATTATATTTTAAAAGACATTGTATTGTGTTAATTATAGGCACATAGTAAAACGTTGAATTATTGCTCAATTTATAACATACAGGTGCTACGTTATTAAAATTTTGTTTATACTAAATATCTCTGTTATATTGGTTTCGTAATTTACCATTCGTCGAATTAATAACTTGTTGAAATAAGTCGTTGTGAATAATATTTTTATCAAACACATAACCACTATCAAGAAGTTTTTGGATAATATACTCAGAATTAAGTTTATTCAAATCAGAAAGACTTTCAACAATAGTTTGCAATGATTTATTTGAAATGTTATATTTTGACTGTAATGTTAAAAATAATAAACCCTGTAACTTCATAGCAAGTTCGTAATGTTGTTCATTAGTATGTGCGCCGACGTCATCCGCATATTCGGGAAAATTGTTCTCCAATAAATTATTTGTAAGAGTTTGAGGAATGAGATTATTTGAGTTATTTACATTTTCATTGTTATGATTTTTATTTCGCAAGTTATTGTGGAAGCGAAAGAAATTGTAAATGCTCCGTATTTTGTTGCGAATACGTTTTTGAAAATGTTTTTTCCAATAATATGACTAATTGACTTTATTACAATGATTTCATTGTAAAATGGTGCAATAAGATGACTGTAAATGTAATACCATTTTTTTCAGTGTACTTTTAAATTTATTTGCTCAATTTTAATATGGGATGATATTCTTTCAAATATTAATATTGCCAGTAAGCTACTACAATCGTCCACAACAACAATTAATGAATCTGTGAAATCACTCAACAAAATTATTGACTTCTTAAATTCATCTAGGTGTGATGCAGCTTTCAATAAGTATATTAACGATGCTACAACATTAGCAACCGATCTAGATATAGAGATAGAATTTCCTTTGAAGAGGCAGAAAAAAAAAGTTCGTATTTTCGATTATGAATGCCATGATGAACGGATTCAAGATCCAAAATTATTGTTTAAAGTGGAATTTTATTTTACACTTTTGGATACAGCTCTAAATTCTATTCAAGAAAGATTTACTTCACNAACAAATATCAGCTTTATCAAAATTAGTTTGCTCTTCGATTGTAAGAGGTAACATTGGTTTCACAGTTTCAAAATATTTATTATAAATCTCTTCAACATCTCGAAGTAACATCAAAATAAAAACTCTAGAGCAATCTAAGCCAGTGTAAGTTTCAAATTTGTTAAAATGCGCCGACGTCATCCGCATATTCGGGAAAATTGTTCTCCAATAAATTACTTGTAAGAGTTTGTTGGTCATTGTTATTGTTATGATTTTTATTTCGCAAGTTATTGTGGAAGCGAAAGAAATGTTGTCTTAGTGAATTTTGTGTTTTAAAAATTGTTTGACATTTACATATATTTCGATATGGACATTCAAAAAATTCAGATTTATTCAAATGGTCATTGAGGTGGTGGATAAATAAAATTCGATTACTACAAGAAAAATGACAGGCCTTACATGAAAGTATCTCATCTTTCTCAATTACACTAATAGTTGAAATATGTATTATAAATTAAAATATTTGAAAATATCACAGAAGCAAATAAACAGTAAATAAATAGACGCTAACCTTAGACTCTATAGATGTTAGTTTTAATCAGTTATTCTGTTATTTTTCAATTTACATTCTGTAAATATAAAGGCAATTTGTCAAACTTACCTACATGGAAAGCACGTGGTCGATGTACCAACTAACACGGCAAATTCAGAAAATGGCGGTTGCTCCTACCAGATTTGGATTTATGCAGTCGTTGCGTAGGTGTATTACCAGTGGGACTAAATCTGAACTGATGTACGTGACAGTTACAACCATTTTTCAAAGTGGGTTAAATTTTGTCCCAGCATACTATAAAGGTCTATTTTTAAGTGGGTTAAATTGTAACCCGGAGTACCTCAAAGAGTTAAAGTGTACATGTAAGTAAATATAATAAAAAACAATAAAAATTAACTTTTTTTTTATTTTTTCTCTAAAATTCTATACATTTTTTCGTTTAAATCAACGATTTTTTTTAAAATATTGATCATCGTCTTATTTTCCGATAACGATTTTTGGGAGGCTTTTTCCAATCCTCTAGGGGCATAATAGCGGGAAGATCTGGGTGTTTCCAACGGGATTAGTGTTGGAGGGGGTGCCACTCTTTCATATCGATGGGAATGTCCCCATGCTTGTCGGGTAGATCTAGGTGTTTCCAACGGGATTAGTGTTGGAGGCGATGCCACTCTTTCGTATCGATGGGGATGTTCCCATGCTTGTTGTAAATCCGATATGCCCCGCGCATAGTCCTCATCATGACCATTAATTGCGATGAGCTCCTCATCATCCATTACCTCACCTTTCGAGCGAGGTGAGGGTGACCTAGGACTATCACTCTCCTGCCAAGTTGCTATGAGTAAAAAGCAGAAAATATAATTTATTAAAGAGATAAGAATTAAAAAAAAAAATTAATCGCTGGATTCTTTCGCTACATCTTTGAGTGAGGTGGGGGCGACTTGAGGTTCTCGTTTTCTTCCCAAGCCACTACGAAAAAAAAAAAATAAATAAAAAGGTAGGAATTAAATAAGAATAAATTAATTACTTTCAAACCTATCGCTGACTTCTTTCTTCACATCCCCAACATGTTCTTCCGTAGGGAGACGGGATTTCTCCCGTCTCCGTACCGTTTCTATGACTCTCACACCACTTAACATCGCATTTCGCATCTAATTATGAGACAGTAATAGTAAAACAATAATAAATTCTTATGAAATTTTAAAAATAAATAAAAATTTACATGTGTACTACTTACCGTCCACCACCTTGCAATCGGAACCGAAAATTTCGATTTCCGTTGCTCCATGATCGCGTTCATTAATATAAAGAATATATTTTGGCATTTTGAATCGTTACGGTAGCACAACACGGTTAGAGAACAAACTACGAGAAACGGTAAACGATTAAGCGTATTTATATGAAGTTCATATCATTTGAGATGCAACTGTTTTTTTTCAAATAATTTTTTTCTTCTGCGGTGTCATGTAGGTTTACAAAATCCTTGATAGGTGCTAGTATTACGTAAGAGGAAAATATTTCTTACGTATCTATCACGTATGTGGTTCAACGATTTTTTTAAAAACGATTGAAACTTCCACTTTTGTGGTGTCTTGCATGTTTACAAAATCTTAGATAGGTGCAATCGTTTTTCCTCGCCACGGTTTTGCGCTTTAACATAATTACACAAACGAAAAATGTTTTTTTCCAATAACCGTGCGGTTTAACAGATTTTTAAAACGATAGAAATTTCCTATTTTACAAAAAGATTAGTTTTTAATTAATTCGAGAAAATTTTATTACATGTGCTCCAACAGATTTTTTTTAAAACAATAGAAACTTCCTCTTCTGCGGTGTCATGCAAGTTTACAAAATCTTTGATAGTTGCTATCATTTTTTTCTTGC